GCATTCCTACGGCTTCCGAGCGTCTCGTGGGATCGCGCCTCGCTTCCTCGACGCACGAAGTTCAAGGTGCGTAGTACCAGTCAGTAACACATTTATCTACAACGGGATAAAGTACCACGTTAATGCCTTTCGAGATCCCCATCCTACAGCCCTTCGAGTTCTCGTTGGGAGTCTCAGCTTCCCTGATGTCATGAGGTTCAACGGCTGGCAGTACCGGAGGTCAGGTAAACAGTTTATTCTCAAGGATTAAAGTACTAAGGGAGGTCTTTAAGGACCCATCCTCACGGCCTTCGAGCTCTCGTGGGAGCTGCGCAGCCTTCAGCTTTCCTGAGCACGTAGTGCAAGTGCGAGTACAGGTCAGTAACACATTTATCTCCAACGGAATTAAAGTACCACGTTTTAGGCTTTTTCGAGGACCCTGCCTCACGGCTTCGAGCTCGTCTGTGGGAGCTCAGCTTCTCGAGCATGGTAGTGTCAAGTGCGAGATACCAGGTCGTACACATTATCTACAACGGGATTAATAGTACCACGTTACGGCCTTTCGAGGACCCATGCGCGTCACGGCCTTCGACGCTCCAGTGGGAGCTCATCTTCTCGACATGAGTTTCAAGGGGCGCAGTACTAGGTATTAACAGCATTTATCTACACGGGATTTAAAGACCTCACGTTTGCGGCTTTTCGAGGACCCGCATCCGCACGGCTTCGAGTCTCATTGGGAGCTCAGTGTCTCTGCGCAGCATGGTTCAAGTGCGAGTACTAGGTGTGAAGATCCATAAGGTCGTTTCGCAAATTGCTTTCTTGTTTTGTGACATTCTCTTCGTCGTCCTTGTGTAACATTCTGATGGAAATTACCGTTCAAAGACATTTTTGTATAAAAACTATTCATAAAATGTCTTTCTTTATCTATACACCTCATTGTTTTTTTCAACGAATTCCAATTTTGAAGCTCAAAATATTAAATAAATATTTCGCATTTAAAAACCAAATATGTCCACAGAACTATGAAATCTTCTATCGCAGTGGTCCTTGAGTATGTTATGTGTCAGACTGGTACTTTTTTTAACTAATGTCTGTTGAACTTGTATTTCATGTAGTACAGTTTTCTTATATCTAGTATTCATATTACTCGAACATATAAAATAGACCTTCAATAGAATCAATTGGAACAAATATGCTCTTGACTCTTTTAAAACTTTACACGGTACTGTACTGTTCGAATACCTAATGTGATCGTTCATTGGAAAAAAGCACTACTAATACTACACAGGGTGGCTCACGTATTAAGTTCCCTTCGAATGTATCCCGACGTTGCAGTATATTGAGATGAAGGAATGTTTGTGTTGTTTTGTTTAGCACAGCGCCCACCCTGGCATGTAGCCATTTTGTGTACGCGCCGACCATATTTGTCGTGCAGACTTTCCCCTCAGCTTTGGTAGGATCCGCAGCGACCACAATGGACAGGCGCGTAGGTGGCGAATCACTGTTGCTCATTTACGCTTTCCGGGCACACATGTGGTAGACCATTGGAAGCGAGCAGCTTTATTCCGCTGTCAATTACAATTATTATTTATTATTATTTTTATTATTCATTTATTTTTATTATTTATTATTTTATTATTATTATTTATTATTATTAATTATTATTATTTTATTAAGTTGGAGTTAGGAGGTGATAGGATATTGGTGAAAGTGATCGTGGACTTTTTGTGAACCATCCAGGATTTGCCTGATGACGAGGGAAACCACGAAAACCCCGATCAGGATGGCCGGCCCGGGATCGAACCGGACCTCCCGACTGGAAGTCAGCGCGATCGCACTGAGCCCTTCGCAGATATTAGAGAATAGCTTTTTATTTTTAAAAAGACCGATATCTCTTCGTCGAATTTCTCTTAAATTTGAAAAAAGCATTATTTCAATATTATTCTCATCTTGTGCTTTCACATACGTTCGTTTACTGAAACGGGCCTAATATTCTGCTACGATTCAGGAGGCGAAGCCCCCTGTATTCAGAAGACACATGGGACTGGCATGCTCCGTGTTAAACCGTAGACTGGAGCTAACCAGAATCATTGACTCAACAGCGAGCGACCAGCTGGATCGGTCGCCGTCCAGCGCGCTAGTGTTGACCCTGGTTTCCGAATGGTTGGAACCAGCAGCCTACATGCGTGTCCGCGCCGCGACGCGCCTCTGTCTGCCCGAACCTAAACGGACTAGTGAGACGTCCGCGAGCGGTGCGTTTCTTCGGTCATAGAAATTGTTTGCGTGTCGTGATGGCCACAGGGGAAGGATGTCGATTCCGTAGGAGACAATTGGTGGCAAGTCCGAAACATCGTGGTAATCGCTGATGCCTTCTTGGTGTCTCAAGCCTGTTAACGTGTGTTGAGAAAACTTATGACTGGAATATATGAGGTGTTTATTGTTCATAGCCGGGCGATTAAATATTTATACGGGCTCTAGTTCGTCGTGCGGTCGGTTTTCTGCTGGGTTCGTGCGGGTTACAGGCGTTCACCCGGTGCGGTCACCTGCGGTTCCGTCGGTGCCTGCGTTACCGGGTGTTACGTGCGTTAGGCGTTCCGTGCGTTTGGGTTACGCGTGACGGTTCCGCCGGGTTCCGTGTGCACGGGGGGTCCGGGGGGTCCGGGGGTGCGTGGGTTGGTTGGGTTGGGTGGGGGGTTTGAGGGGTGGGATGAGGTGATGGTGGGTTGAGGTGGGTTCGGGTGGGGTGGGTGGGTTGTGGTCCTGGGGGAGGGGGTGCAGGGGGAGGGCAAAGGGGGGGCGTGGGTGGGGTGGCGCGGGGTGTGGCGTGGCGCGGAGTTTGTTTTGGGCGGTGTGTGAGTGGTGGGTGGGGTTCGGGTTAGTGGGTCGGTGGGGGTTCCGTGGTTTCCGTGGGGGGTGGGTGGGGTGGGGGTTCGGGGGTGTGGGGGGTGTGGTTGGGGTTGGGGGGGTTGCTGGTGTGCTTGGGTTTGGGGGTGGCGTTTGCGGTGTGGGTGGGGAGGGCCTGCGTTGGGGTAGGGTGGGTGGGTTGGTGGTTCGGGGTGTGGGGGTGGGTGGCGTTTCTGGTTGCGTGGTGTCCGGGGTGGGGGTTGGCGTGGCGTGGGGTTGGTGTTGGCGTGTGGTTGCGGGTGGGGTGCCGTGGGTTGTGGTGCGTGGCGGTTTGGGTTGGGTTGGTGGGTTTCGGCGGGGGTTGGTGTGTGTGAGGTGGGTGGTGGTGGTTGTGGTTGGGGTGGGGTTTGCGTCCGGCTGCGGTTCGGGGGGGTGGGCTACTAGCTGAGCATACTAAATATGATGACGTTAAATACTAACAGTTGACGTGTAATAGTAAGTTTTTATTTACCGTTAATATTCCTTCAATAATATTACAAAAAATGTACTGTACAATATAGAATAGTGTAGTTGTTTAAACTTTTGTCAAACATTTGTAAGATAATTCGAAAAAACATATTTTTAACGATGCTATGTGTATAGTTTTGGAGTAGGGTTTTCAACGTAGGTGTTATATACTAATTATGTTTAATATAGTTGTAGTAGTAATAGTTATAAGTTTTAGTGTGGTAAGATCAATAAAATAGTTTGACAATTTGCTTGTATACGTATCGCAAACAACCGGAAAAGCATACAATTTTCTTTCATGATCTTCTAAGAGGAACGACTCAAATCGTTTTTTATAGTTTCGGCAATAATTTTATGAAACGAAAATTCTATGATACAGTAGTGACAATGAAATGTCCTTCACGAACACTGTCTATCTTGTAATTGTAAATTGCATATTCACGACTGTCAATCTAGTATTTACTTTGCGATGCTTAAAATTAGGACATTCGAAATTCGTGTTAACTTCTTTCTTTTCATCGTTTTGGCCAATTAAAACAGATGAATCGCAATTTTATGGTTCAAGGTAAAAGCAGAAATAGTGTATATTTTATGAATGTTTTGCGTAGTTTTGCTAATATTCTTGAGATACATCAAAATTCATTTAGGAATGATCTATGAACTCAAGTCGGCAATTGGAACCGGTTTATGAATAATGCATCCGTAAAAATACATTTTAATTTTTTCTAATATTATTAATTTATTCCAAACTAGGTCCTTGGAAGACAGCGCGATGAGCGAGGGCGACGCCAGCGCGCGGTACGCGTTTATGCGCGAGCGCGAGTGGCGTAGGGAGTCCTCCTGGCGTGACGTCACGCACTCGTCGCACCCGCACCTGCAACAGCCACCCACACCCGCCTCCATAGTCCACCTCCATTCACGCGCCGGGAGTATGCTGTTACAGAAATGGTTAGGTTAGGAGCAGATTGGGAGAGGCGATTAACGAAATTTTGTACACGAACGGGATGTTTGAGTGGATGGACGGATAGATAGGAGTTTTGTGTCACGTGTCAGATTCGAAGCGTTTCAGCTAAAACGTGGTTAATGTTAAAAGCAAGATCCAGTTGTGCCGTTATGGAGATCAGTTTCGATTCCTGCCTCGAGCATCTCTGTATTCGTGTCAGTCCTTTCAACTGCCATCACCACCATGTCATTTCATTTGGTTCACAGTTGCCCACAATGTTAAAACCAATAGTGATCGCTAATGACGTAGATGTTGATGCGACTTTAAAGAAAAAAATGGTACTGGAATTTGAAAACAAATAACTGTTGCTCCTTTTCTCACAGGTTTATCCATTCAAAATCCAAGTTCAGACAATGCTTTTAAATATTATTTTTAAATGAAAATAATTTATAAAGCAACAAAGAATGACGTCCAACAATGATACTAGTACCTTGCAAATAAACTGATAAATCATTTGTACGGAACAGAATTTTGTGCGGAACATTTGTGTAAAAATTATTTGTAGACATTGATGAAACGAAATTAATGAATGATTTGAACAATAAACTTAAAGAATTTTGAATGAATTTTATATTTTATATTATTTGAAAGTTACTTTTGAAATTCTGTTTTTTGAAATTGTATCTCAACATTTGTAATTTTCGAGAATAGGGTCAACAATCTAATTTCAGTTCCCTCAAAAGGATGGACTAGTGGCGTTGGACGCAATTTGAATGGTATTTTGTAAAGTTTATGAAATTATATGAAAATTGGATGTTGTGCACAGTGGTAAAAAATAAAGGGGAGTAAATTTTGAAAAAATATAAGAAAGTATCCCGAAAACAAATGAAGTTGGGGAAGATTCCTTCTACAACCGTTTCAAAATAAATTTAGAAAATACTTTGATACTTTGTTGTATAAGAAAAATATCGTATTTAAAAGTCAAGTTTAATGTATAAATGGGTCCAAAAAAGTGGTTGGTCGCCCTCTTATTATAGGCTGCGCACGTTGTTGCCTAGTAATGGTCTATATATTCTAAAACCAGTTTGTTAACCCAGGTCACCATCTTGCTCATTTTATCGTCGTCAACAAAATTACAAATGAGTAGTAATACTGTTTAGACTCATTAGAAAATTTTTAAGTTCATATTCAATTTGAATTTATAGTTTTTACTCTATATTAAGATGCAAGTTTCGTCATATGGAGTTGCTACGTCATGGATAACGTACATTACATCACACTGGACTTTTTGCGACGTTAATGCGTGTTTCAGAGTCAATTTTCTTCGTTTCTCGTGAAAGTAACATTGAAATGAAAAAGAAAACTTAAAGTGTTAATGATATAAAAATTTCGTTTGAACAAAAGCGAAGATAAATACTTATCTCAAATGCGTTCAGTTCTTTCTCAAATATGGGCATGTTGAAGGACGAAGAAAATAGTTCGAAAGATCTGGTAAAGAATGAGGAAGAGTGGCGTGTAGAAAAGGAATGTAAGTTACAGAAGGTGGCAAAAAGAAAGAAAGAAAGAAAGACAGAATGAAATAATAATTGGATCATTCATATTTTGAGAGGTAACGACGTAAGTAAAAAATAAAACATCGAAGTAGAAGTTGATGAAAAAATGAAGACAGAAAATAATGTAAATACTGGACGAGAATATACAAGTAGTGATGTAGAAGTGAAAAGAAAGTAGAAAGGAAATCAACAGGTTCTAGGTCAATGCAAGAAATAAACGTAAAAGGGAAGGTATGAACACGTTTAAAGAGCAGAAAATCAATAATTACTACTTTACGCTTATTTTTGATTTATACAAGTAGGGAAAACCTGTTCACCCTATCAAGTGATTATTTGTATCTCTCAAGCAGTATATTTGGAGCATATTCAGTATTATTAAATGTTCAGAATCATTTGATTCTAGTTTTTTGAATCCTAATAATGCAATGAAGTTTGAAACCATGCAAACATCATATCTAATAATGCGTTAAACAAATTATAAAGACATAATTTAGTGATCCAAGAACTTTTAAATATTGTGAATAGTACTTGCTATGAAAAAAATTGAAAAAACTGTACTTAAGTATATATTGCAGATAAATTCGCAGGTCAAAATTGTATGTACGAAAGAGGGTACCTTTTACAGTAGCAATTACAACGTAATACGCTATTTAGCCTATAATATTTAAAGTGGCCATCCAGAAATTCATTGTAACAAATTTAACAGAACAAAAAAATTGTAACTCCATTATTAATAACCGGAGAGAGCAAGGAAAATTAAAGGCGCATACCATAACGTCCACAGCGAGCAGGAAAGCGCGAGATTCATGAGGGAGATTACTGCGACACAGCGCAAGGGCCAGGGCGTGGGCCGCCCGCCCACGCATTCGGCTGGGAGCGACAGCCGACGAGCGGCGATATTTATGGGCGGCGGCGCTGTCGGCGGCGGTCATGGCGGGGCCGGGCGAGGCGATAGGGCACTGAGGGGCGATGGCCTGGGCGGGGATGCGGGCTGTCGGGGCGGATGGCGGTGCGGGATGGGGGTCGGGCGGGGATGGGCGGGTCGGGGCGGATGGCGGCGGGATGGGCGGGCGGCCGGGCCGGACGGGTAGCGATGAGGCGGAGCGCGCGGTAAGCTTTCGCGTGGACGGCACCGGGGTGGGGCGGACCGGGGGGAGCGGAGCGGATGGCGGCGCGGAGTGGGCGGAGCGGAAGCTGGGCGGGCGCGGTGCCGTGGCCGGCTGCGGGGCGGGCGGGGCGGTGCGGGTGAACGTGGCGAGGCTTGTTTTTGCGGGCGTGAGGCGTGTCGTGGCCGTGGGGCGAGCAAGAGGGAGGTTCGCGGAAGGGGGTGGCTTGGATGGGCGAGGCCGTGGGGTGCTGGCGCGGAAACGGAAGGGTGGGGTGAAGGCGCAGGATCGCGCCCTCATCGTGGAAAGTCGGCAATTACCACGCGCCCCGCGCCGCGCGCGCATCCAATCATCGGCCGAACGTCGAGCGGTTGGAGAGAGGCGCGACCGCACACCCAACCGGCAACCGGGGCATCGCACGCTCGATGAAGCGCCAAGGTAAAACTCCGGGCGGGGCAGGCGGACGGCGAAGATGGGGTGAGCAACATGATAAGAGGGGTGCAGCCGGGCGTCAAGCATGCCGCCTCAGGCGGGAGCGGGGCTCCGCGGTAGAAAAAAAAGGAGAAAAGCGAAGACGATGGAGTGGTTTGAGAAAATACTACGCGAAATATTATTTTGTTGACGGAGAATGCGAGTATTGATACGAATGTGGGACACGAAGAGCTGTTGTGGCAAAGAAGACCGGGGGACGATGGGTATAGAAGCAGAGTGGGTGGATGGGGTGGCGATAAAGGAGATAGCAGAGGGTGCAAAGCCTTTGGAAATGGGACTGGCGAACACTAGAGTAGCTGTGACGAGAGATATCGCGTGGTGGATTGATACAGCGAGATATCGCCGAGTTTGAGGTGAACGGGTGGTAAGGTAGTGCGAGTAAACGGAAGTGAGGGAGGGCGTTCATGGAGATGGGGAGTAGGGGGTGGTTGCGGCGGTTCTACGACGCGACGCTCACCAGGAGCCCGGCCGCCGCCCTCATTCCCTTGGAGGTGGCACGGAGAACGCAATTGCATCGCCCATGATAACACTGTCTGCAGCTGCAGTGCCGACAAAATCGGCAGACATAACGGTGGCAACGGCTATGGTGAGGAGAACCACGATAGAATTGGCAGCTCGAGAAAAGCAGAGCGTTACTGCGGTAGCAGTGATAGCGGAAGTGGTGGTGGTAGAAGCGGCGACGGCGGTGACGATGGTAGCGGCGGTGATGGCGGTGGCAACGGTGGCGGCGACGGATGTAGAAGCGGAGGAAAAGGTGGCGGCAGCAACGCCGGAGCGGGGGTTGTAGCGGCGGCAAATGTGGGAGTGGCACCGTCTGCACCAGGCGGAGCGTTGCGCATATGGGGATAGCGACAGCGATCACAACGCTTTGGTGACGGGCGGCGTCTGTGAGAGTGAGCCGACATGACGCGTCGCCGACGGATGATTTGGCAGCTGCGCCTTTTGCGCGAATGACGTAAGGTGACAGATGCAGCGGTGGCGGCGGCTGGGCGACGGCGCGAGATTGAGGGACGATGGGGGCGTTGGTCGCGTTGCCAGTGGAGCTGAAGGGAGCGTCAGAACAGCATGGCGTGCGCACAAGCTCTATATCAGTCGCAGGAGGAACACGAGATTCCGCGATGTCAAGGGAAGGGCAGGAGCCCGGCGAGGGCAGAACCGAGTGACGTATTCAGTGGCTGACGGAATGAGCTGCGGACTGTGTGCAGTAGCGTATCGAAGGGAGATGGGCACACTGACTGATGGAAACCGCTACGGACCCGCGGACTACCCGCTCGGAAGTATACTCCCTGCAGGTTAACGAAAGGAAGAGAGGATACTGTGTCATTCTCGCAATCCTAGTACAGTATAATTAAAATTATTTTTAATATACTATTTAAAATATTTAAAAAAGATGGTTATTTCAAACAAAAAATGAAGAAACTTCATTTAATTAATTAGTCATCATTGTAATAGGGAAATAGATTCAACAGGAGAAACCAAAACATATTGTATGATGTAAGGGGTATTGTCTATGGAAGAATGAACGGTAGGTGTTGAAAACAAAAGCCTTCAGGACATATTGTAAGCCTTCGCCTGAAGATGGGCTGCATGAGGTTTGGTGTGGATAAGTTGAAAAGGAAAAAAAAAATCGAAAGAACAAGCTAATAATGTTTTATCATTCGAGTTATTGTCACTGGGTTTGTCGACGCCCTCGTCTTCGTTGGCATCGTAGTTGCCGCCGATGTTGTCACATTGATTGCTTTTCTCGAGCTGCCAATTCTATCGTGGTTCTCCTCACCATAGCCGTTGCCACCATTATGTCTGCCGATTTCGTCGGCGCTGCAGCTGCAGACAGTGTTATCATGGGCGATGCAATTGCGTTCTCGGTGCCACCTCCGAGGGAATGAGGGCGGCGGCCGGGCTCCTGATGAGCGTCGCGTCGGCGGCGGTGCAGTCGTCGCGACTCAAGGGTCGCCGGCGAAGGGAGCTGCATTATTCAGCGCGAAGCGACCGAGGTGCGCGCGCGGGGGCGAAAGAGCGCGCAGACGGCGCCCGCGAGACGCAGAGAGAAAGAAGAGACGGAGAAGAGAGGGCGAAATCAGACGACGTAAAAGTTTCTAAGAGCCGCTAAGTGTTTTAGTATCAAATACGCTCCGCACCGCGCCGTCTCTCTTATGGAAATGTGTCGGAATCCCCCGCTACGCGCGCATAAATATTCACAAGACGAATCGCAGGAGAAGAATTAACTTACTTTTTGGATAATCCGCGGAGACGCCGCGGGGATGGGCAGTTGTTTTATCGTAGAAGAATCGAGTCTTTTTCTAGTTGGGGATCAGGAGGGAATTCGTTTGACCTATTTTTGAACGAATGCAACATTTTCATAATATAGCACCTAGGGAATCAAAATATTTTACTTCGAGTATGAATTGCTTTATACGTGTACTACACATGCATGCATGCATAGATGAAAATATGATTTTAATAAATAATATGTTTTGAATTTTAGAAAATCAAGGTGTTAAAAATTAAGTGAAAAAGATAAATTACCGAGAACAACGCCTGAACACTAGAGGGTACAACGCAAAACATACAGTACAGACGTACTAAGCGGAAAAGCAGAGAGAGGTTCAGAAATCGTTGTGAGGAACAAAATAACGAGCGAACTCGGAACAAATGATGTGAACTAAACCGTGGATGATGATATCAACATAAAATCAAAGATATAAAAGATTTACATGAGCTACTGCATTAATGTACATTGAAGTGACTGTCATGAATGATATGAATGGCTCAGCGTCAACTGCTAAGATCAGTGTTCCCGTAAGTGTGTGCATGTTTTTGTCGCGGGAGGAAGCGGGTATCTTCCTCCACTGGGTGGCGAGATCCAGCACCAACTTACTTAGGCTTGCAGGATTTTTCCTAACTAGGTATCTCAGCGTGACTCCTCCCCAGCCGGAACAAGCAATCAGATCCCAACTGTGAAGTGTGATAGTACAAAGCATATAAGTGTAAGCGTGTGTAAGTAAGTGGTGAAGATTGGACAAGGAAGAGGAATAAAAGATACCGCGAACTCCGTGGCCTGTTTGTCAAGTTACTGCTCCGGCATTCGACTGGTGTTGATGGAGAAACCGTGGAAAACTACCGATCAGAGCAGTGGGCCGGTAGAATTGTCCTTCAGACAGCGAGTGAATTCGACTTAATTCACAAGTTGGTGTCACAAATACTGCCACCGTCGGGACTAAAACCCTAGGACCTCCGTTCCAGAGGCAGCACCCGCTTAAAATCGTTGGCTGTATATACAGGAGAGCCAAGAAGCCAATGTAGCACGTACGGCTTAATTATTTCCTATAGTTATTCTAACATTCATTACATACACGTCCAACTTAGTAAGAAGAATTATTCTTGTGTATGTAAATGAATTTCTTAGAATACCATTATAAACTTCTGTAAGTCACATTACATGTATATTCACTGTTTGGATAAAGAGTTAATGTTTTATTCACCTGCTACTGAAATATTTCGAATGCAACACTGCAGACAACTCTTCACGTAAACTAGCATAAGACTGCTCCTTCACAACCGCTTTAACGAGGGAAGACGTTATTTTAAAAGTTTATCGGATTACTTCAAAAATTAAGAGCATCCTTTACAGTGGGATCGTAGGATCTGCTTTGGGAAGAACTAGAAAGATAAAGTTACTTCGGAAGAACAAATTCATATCCTTAATTTCAACCGATGAGTTCAAGGTTAAAGTTTTTGCTAGTTGCAAATGTTAAATGAACTAATTTCGCATTGATAGTGTAACAACTAAATTAAATGTATCAAGACTTTTTAAACTTTTTGAGATTAAAATGTGTAAAAAGTTTGTATTTACTGATTTGTAAAGTAAAAAATCTGTTACAAAACTAAGTAAGAAAAATGTATAGAAAAATATGAACAAACAGATAGATAAAATAATCAAGGGAAAACGAAGATAAAAACAGTTATTCCTAAATAGTAAAAAAACAACAACACAACAGCAAAGTATTTACTTTTACTCATCTGCACAATAAAATACGATTCATTATAACAATAATTCCATGTTACACATATTGCGTTTTCCAATTTATATTCGAAGTGATAAAAATGAAAAACAACAACAATAACGAATACTAAAGGAGAGCCAAAACAAAGTGTAAGAAGTTCATTCATTACAATAATAAAAATCGCTATACACAAACTTCTTCCAAATACTAACTCTGTAGAAGGCTTTGCCAACAAAAGACATTGCAGTTTGCAATTACATATTGCAATAATAAGATCGACAAATGAAAGAAAAATAATGTGGCTACATTTACAACCCTAATTCTTCCTTCCCCCGGAAGTTTACCTGTCACGACGCGTGCGCGCTCCCGCAGAGCCGGTGTGATGGGGGGGGTGAATCGGGGAGGTGGAGGGGGTGTGTGGCCTCACCTGACGTCGTGCGGCATGGGGAGGGTGGCGCCGCGGTCCAGCAGGATCTTGATGATCTCGTAGTTGTCCCTGTGCGCCGCCAGAATGAGCGGGGTGATGTCCGGGGTGAAGGTGGCGGTGTCTGGTGGCAGCGCCTCCCAACTCTGCAACAACGGCAGCTCGCGTCGCAGTTCAACCTCGACAGCATTTCAAATTATACGCGCACGTTTTCTTGAGCCCCGGAATACCTACCCCCAATCATTTACAAACGTTAGCTAATTAAGAATAAATAATAGCAACGAGCATTGTTAACAATTATAGTAACCAGAAATGTTTGGGTCCGTGAATAAGAAACTATATTGTGTCGGAAAACTAGTTACAGATTTAATATAAAAATCCTGACTTTGAAATACTCTGATCCACTCCTCTCGCATCTAGCGAAATGAGTGCTCAAGAAAACATGCGCGGATAATACACCCCCAATTTCCAGCGCGTATAATACTCGTACTCCCTCAGTTTGTTACGTTATGCTTGAGAAACGTGGAATGATCCTGGCTATAACGTACCTGACATATCCTCCTATATTTACCGTAACGACGCAAGTAATGTATTTAATGCCTGATAATTCTTTAGTTTCCTGGCGGCAAATATCTTAGTCAGACAAATGGATAATAGGGTTGTTAGAACATTCTCAGTAATACTACACATTAATTACAAGTCACATATACAAACATTATACAGCTAATAAGTTTATAAAAGTTGCGAACGTTGGTGGCAAGAATGTTCATGAAATCATCGCCGTTCATTAATTCACTTTGTCGACAGACTCACCGGTAACAGTAAGGGTGAACATATGGCAGTTATCAACAATGCCCCGTTTGTTGAAATCAAATTGACATATCAAAAAGAAAAATGTGTACACGCAGTCCAAATAAATCAAGTACCGAAATTAATGTCAGCCTGCCCGGATCCGTAACCATACCGAATTCTATCAATCCTCATACGTGTCACATTCCATAAAATTTAATTAATTCTAACTGGTCAATACCAAGCAACAGAGTCTTATGAGTGATTATGGTAATTTACTGTAGTTTTTGTGAGGGAATTTCAGCACGCATTTCACACTCTCATATAATTATTTATTCTCAGTCATTCGCCTTGCGGTAGAATTTACTACGAGAATCAGCACTTCTAAGCGCTTTCAAGCCTTAAAACGCGGGACACAGCTGCGAACCTCATTTCATCCCACGTGCTTATCCAACGGCGAACATCATTTCTACGAATCGCCCAACGTCCATTCTGACCACCCCGTCTCACCACGTACGAGTTGCCAAATTTCTGTGTATTGCCCACATATCTCAATCGCTTGTGAGACAATCTACGTTCTCGAAACCGTGCCGCACGTCACATAAAATTTACTTGCATTAGGCCTATGCGACCTTGAAGACCTATTTAGGACAATCACGACTATTGAACAAGTGTACATTATCTCGAGAACATTTCTGTAATAGTGTGGCAATACCCTACTGTTAATGTTGTTCTCGAAACTAATGTTACGAGTTATACTTGTGAAATGTTCTGTACAACTCTGCACCGCGAGTGACACTATGACCTTGTTGTCCGTGACGATAGTGAGATAATTGTCCGAGTGCAATCCAACTTGTGTCTCGCAAAGCGTACGTTCACTTGACACCGGTGCTCATCAGAGAGGTGTATTTCCTTTTTCGTGTGCCTGGGTTCCCACACGCTCCGTGACAACTATCGGCGTGTAGTGAAAAACACAGCAAGACTATCCTTGTAGGACGTCATATGCGTTCTCCTGCAGGAGTCGTAATGCAATGATTGTTCATTAATCATTAAATTCAATGCATCATTAAATGTTCTTTTTTATCTTAATCAAATATGATATTATATACTGAGATAAAATCATATATTATTTTATCTTGATCACATATAATTAATCACATAATATATTTGATCTGTGTTTGCATATTGTACGAAGGAATCCGTCACCTACATTCCATTGTAACCTCTCATCTTAGAATAACTAATCATCTTCCCTTGTGAAAGTGATACACACTTTCATTACCTAATGCATTTTGCTGAACACTAACAGTACTAGATCTAGACCTTTTATTTACAATTGGTGCCTCCTCAGCTCTATTAACAGACTAGAATCCTCGTTCATCTTCTCCTGAACAGACTTATTGAGGCTATATACATTTTTAATATTCATAACAAAGACATCAGGTTAATTTTCACTGCCGTTCCATTCTATCTTTTACAATAAGAACTACTTCCTGGGTGAAGATACGCATATGTTCAGAGAATGTCTAAAAATGCTTAACTGGAATGCCGTTGGTGTTCATTGACAACGTGGTGAATTAACTCACACGTCAAATAGACCTTGCCAATACTACAGAGATTCACCTCTCATCAAATAAGTTTGGACTAAAATGTGAAACTTTAATGTTAATATCAACAAAAATTATTTCAAATGTTTTGCTTTCCCGCTCTATCGTCCAGTTGTTTCACTTTCGTTCAATAACCACACCCTACCTTATCTTTCCTCCAAAGAAACAATCAAGTAGTACCTCGATGTACAACTAGTTTCTAGACCTACATGGGTCCTACAGATAATATATTTGGTTAGTAAACCCCTCCCCAAAAAAAATCGAGTTGCTATTCTTCGATCACTTACACAAAATCGCACCTACATTTTACTACCTCCAAAGTATTTTTACGGGAAAATCTGATTAGACGCATTCTCACACTCGCCTACGCAGTATGAAGAGGTGCTCAGCGAACATCATTCTAAAAATTTTAAGTTCTGTAAAGCCGATAAATTAGATTGCAGTAGGTGAACCATGTACGTTCGCAACTCCCACCTGTCTATACAGTTCCTCATAAATACTTTACGTAAGCAAATTATTCTTCTAATGCACCATTTCTTTTTCTATCTTCATTCTTTCCTTCTCTATTCAACCTCAATTTTCAACTTGGGGCAATACCTTGTTTCACCTTCACGACTTCTTCCCGCCTACCCTTATACTTCACCTCTTAAAAAATCTAATTTCTTTCATACAAAAATGAATTCATAAATAAAGAAGTCCTTCCACAAAAATATAACAAATTTTCAAGTAGAGACTCGTGAACACTGCAAAAGACGAAATAGCTGCATCATTTTACATGAAATAACAGATATGTAACTTCAGTGCAGGTTATAAACATTTCATGAGTTAACCTGGACTATACACCTCCACATTTGCACATATAGCAGAAGTTAATAAACTAAACAACAAGGAATTCAAGAAGCGTGATAAAACATACCCTTGCCAGTCATGAAAACAATTAAATTTCTTGTATACCGCATTTAATTAAAATTACATTTCCATACTTTGTTAATTTATTTCTTCGAATTTCAATACAATTTTATGTTTCAAACATTTATATGTTTCAAACATTTATATGTTTCAAACATTTATATGTTTATAAAATATGTTTGTCTTTGTAACATATTTGAGTTTTTGTTTTAGTTATAAGCTAACATAATCTGCATCAGAGCACAAGGATTTGCTCATACGGGTGCATCTGCTGTATTCGTTAACTTGTATAAAAATGAACAAAATAAGATATTTATAGTACTACAGCAGACAATTAACAGTAATATAAATACAAAATATAAAAGTACCCATTCACCATAAATTGATATATTCCAAAGTGTAATGCGAAATATTTCATGAGAATTCCTTCCGAACAATTCATAAACAAAAACTGCATTTCCGCAAGGGCTACCCAGTATATTGCAATTAATGAGTATATAACTCCGTCGTAGCAAACTTATCCGTAGATCGAAATAGTTTTAGTACAAAAGAACGTCTTAGGAAATATAAATTCTTTGCAGTGAAACGCCTGGCCTTGTGCAGCTAGCATGGCATACCTGAGGAAATCATCCCTGAAGTTTACATTTTTTCAGGATTTAATTCAGGTTCACTTATTATATAGAAAAATATCAAAAATTCATTTTTTCACGTTTTGAAATGTTAGCAAAGGCTGAAAATTTACCTATTACTTCTTATAATCTACTTATTGTTCGAGAAAATTTGAGGCCATGACCTTTGCAAGCAACGTGAGTCCTTGGCTATTCACTGTTACCGGCTCCAGTTTGTGATAAACCTGATCGTAAATTACGCCAAGCCTGAACCTGTTCTCTTGACCTGAATTGTTACACGAAGCAACAACGTCTTCTTGAGTCGCTTAATGTCTCACCTTCTAAAAATAAACATCCTTGAGCAGCACTTACCAAGATGCACGTTAAACTACTTAGCAGCGACTGATGATACACGTTGTCACCAACGAAGAATGTAAACCAATATAACGAACAGTGATTGTTTAAATAAAAGAAGATGATAATTCTTGGTAGAATCACTTCCTGTGAATCCTTGGAAAAACACATAAAAAATAAGTAAGAGAAGATAAGTCTGTTAAAAGGGGTTTAGAATATAATAAAAAAAAATCCTTCGGGACGAAAAAGAAAAAAAAAAACGTTTACACGAAAAGAAGTAAAAAATCGATAACCGATATACAGAAAGAAACAAAGGGAATGACATACGAAGTCAGCAAGCGGAACATTTTACAAAGGAGAAAGGACGTTTAAAAATATATTCAGAATAGGAACTCAGAAATATTAGCGGTATCCTGGAGAAGACAAAATTAAAGATAAAATCCTTCAGAAGAAGGAGAAACCAAAATGGTAAACATTGAGAAATACGAGAAAGTAGAATTCATAATTCAGCTCTTGAATATTTTATATTGCTGGAAAAAATTGTATTAATAAAAAATTAAAATAATTTTTAAATTATTGTTCATATAATTCACAGAAAACACGAGATAAAATGAGATATTAATTCAATGAATAAATGTCATAATTAAGTGTACAAATCGAGGGAAGGTTTCCATCTCAATAAGGGGCACGGATGTGTTTGATTCTTGTCGCGCGTGGTGTTTGTTAATATTTAAGTGTAGTGGTTTGAAAAAAGAGCAAATATTGTTTGAAACTCTTCACTAATAAAGATATTTTAATATTATTTTATTGCAGCGTGTTTTTCGAGTTATACCCTATTTTGATGTTTAGAATACCCAGAGAGGTCATTTCGACTCCTGACGCTCTGTAAGTCCTTGTCTCTTCTTTGTTTTTGAAGATAGAATTTTGTAATTTCGTGACTTTTAATCACTTGTATGCATGTTAAAAGTTGACCCGCGTAAAAAAATATTTCTAAGCACTAAAGCACTAAAAAAGTGTGGCAATGTTTCCATACATTGGAAATATGGGGAAAGTATTGACAAAAACGAGAGGCAACGCTTGGAAAATCCACCCATCAGAATACAAAGCAGGAGTTGATCAAAGAGTGTAGATAGTATTATAAATTAATGTGCTGAAAAACTGTGGTCTTATAAGTCATTAAACTTTTGGATCTTCCAACTGGGCATATTTTATTCTGTATGCTTAGTAAAGTCGGTAATTTAGAAAGTAAATACAACGAAAACCCGGACAAGAACTGTCTTTTTGAATTCGGTTAAATTTCTTTTACTCGTAGAAGTCAATTATGTAACGCACATCGAGTTCCTGTCGGTGTGAAACAAACATAAATTTGGAATAAGTATGTTTGTTAATATTTGCCTCGCAATAATTCGATATATTGCGAGACAGTAAGATAACTGAAATACAAAGGAGATATACTTGAGACGTCTAAAACTGATTACTTAAAATTTATAAGTGTTTATAATATTTTTCTATTGTTATTGTCAAGAAATATTATTCTTAGATAAAAGTTTACTTTACAATATATTATTTTGTTCGTTCACTGAATTTTTATTTATAATAATGCTATAGTAACGTAGATGAATAGTTTTGCAATATTTACTTTTAAGAAGTATCGTTGAAGGCTTCGATTCGAAATGACTCCTCTGGGCATTCTAGGGGCTTTGGTAAGCCGGTCGTTCTAGTGTTAACTAATTGGCTATGGCTGAACTAAGAAATAAAGGAATTCATTCACATTCGGGAGAGATGTCAGTATAATCCGGCAGAGATTGGACGATATTGAACCGCTCGCTAAAGGGGCCTACAAACTTCCAGATTTGCTTGTCCGGGTATTTTGCTTTTCATACTTACGGGAACAATGTTATCTTGACATTAACCGGTACCGGATACACGCTCGGACGGTCATCCTCGAAGTTGTATCCTAACGAAAGTTAGGAAATGAATGGGTTTCGTTGTACCACTCGAGGAATGTATGCCCTTGTTTACACGGTCGGGTAACACTAACCTAGAACGTTTCTGGCCAGCTCAAGGCAAAATGTAGAGAAAATATATGTTCCAAAAAACAAAAATTATATTGCCTGTAATCAATTTTCACTAGAACTACGGGCTGAGTTTTCACTGTTTGATATAAAACAAAGTCAAATTTGTGTTTAGATATGTTTTTGAAGGCCCCCTATTACATGTTTTTCTAACAGATTTCATAGGCTAAAATTAATTCTCGCTAGCGTTTCTCTTGGTAGTTATTTTTCGCTAGAATTTGACTTGACCTTCCCTTACTATGCTGTAGACCTATATTATTAACATGAGTACGTGCTTAAAAATGAATTTGAAAACTGGAGCAATAGATATATGACTTTTGTGAAAAACTTAAATGTTTGAACTGTGGTATGGGTGAAACATTGTCCGTGTATACTGATAAACATTTTCCATCGTCTGTAAGCTATGCGTCTTAGTCACCATCATTAAGGCATACTGGCCAATTGGCAATATAAATTATTATTCTTATCATTTATATGCATTTTCCAAAAAAGCACTGATGTAAATAAGGTAAGTATACGAATACAGTGAGATCGTCCTGTAGCATTGCATAATACAAAAGGGTTTAAAAAACTTAGCTTAAAGCAATTAAATGAATTATAACAAATTTAATTGTTGATATAAACGATTATACAAAGAAATTTGTTTAAAAAAACAATTTTTAATAATGTTATTTTTCTAGCATTGTTGGAAACAAGAATTTGATTTTCCATGAATCTAAAGAATATTAGAAAACTGCTTTTTGAACGAGGCATTAACTAATTCATAAAAAAGCTTTGCACTACAACGGAAGTGCAAAATAGTCTTTGAAATCGCGACATCATTAAACGTAAGTGAAAAAGAACAACCAACTGGGAGACGAGCGATTGCACATTTCGCACCGAGGCACATGTTAAATTCCTAAAAAAAGCGATCGGCCAAAGTAGAGAAAGGCGAGCGATGCTTTTACCCGAGCACATGCTAATTCAAGAACAGTAATTGCAGCCACAATGGGTATGCATTGAGCGAGCTTTTAGCATTAGGACATTTAATTCGTAACGAGAAGAGAGCCAAGCATATTGAACTTTGATCTCTGCGAGTGAGGTCCTCGAAGCAAGAATTTCCGTAAGCAAAGAAAACTATACCAAGATAACGGTGGCGAGTGAGTTGCTCTTCACGCGAGGCACACAAAACAAATGTAATAAGAGCGCAGCCCAATGCTAGGCAAGCTGATATTTATCCGAGGACATCAATCCTAGAAAAGTAGGTGTAGCGCTCATGTGGAGGCGTAGCGATGCTGTTTCACCGGCAGTGCATTCTAATTTCTGTAAGAAAAGAGAGTAGCAAATGGGGAGGTTTTACCAAAGGTACATTTAATTCCGTAAGAAGAGAGAGCAGCCCTAATTTCGGATTTGATGCGAAGTGATTTTCCTCGAACTAGGCTACATTCTAATTTCCTAAGAAACAAACAGCCAATTGGGAGAGAGGTAGAGAAGCTTCACCCGATGCAGCAACTAAATCTAAGAGAAGAGTGCAAACTATAATGGGAGGCAAAGCGGAGTGATTTTAATCGTAGGCACATTCTAAATTTCATAAGAAAAAATCGGACTGAAAATGAAAGAGGCGTGCGAGTGCTTTACCTGAACTGGCATACACTCTGCTACAAAAGAGCGCAAACACAATGGAAAGAACGAGTAACTGTATCTGAGCATAGTTCTTTATTATGAAAGAGAGACGTCAGCAGTCTGGAGGCGTAGCCGAATCTATTACGTCAGTAGTATCATCTAATTCTAAAGGATAAGGCAGACAATGTCAGAGGCGTCGAAACTTCTATTCTGACAGACACATCTAACTTCTTAAGGAAAAATACAGAGGACGTGGGGGATCAAAGCAAAATGAGTGGAGGGGAGCGATGCGCTTTTAGCTCAAGTTACTACGCCAAGCCATTCATAAGAAAAGAGAAGAGCCAAATGTGGAGTGCAGTCGAGTGCTATTTCGCCAGATGGCACATCTAACTTCTTAAGGAAAAAGTGAGAGCAAGCAAAATTCGGGTGAGCGAGCGAGCGTCTATATTAGCGCCAGCTACTCGCATAAGCACACTACAGTCAGAAAGCAGAGCATCCCATGTAGGCGTGCGAGTGCTGTACGCAGTTGGCTATGCCGATAGGACACATCAATTCTAGAGAAACATATAGCAGGCATACAACGGGCACATTGCCGCCCTATATATAGTGACCCACATGATGTCTGCAGCAAGCATATACGATGCCAGGCAAAAAATACGCAAAGAGCAATCAGCCAAAGTGCGAGCGACTGATTGTCGGAGAATGAATCCCTAACTGCACATGAAGGACATTACAGTCTCTTCTAAGAGGAGCGTTACTGACAGCAACGAAAACGGGCTTAGACGCACTGATCCGAGCCGGATGGTAGCGCCATTTTAAGCGGCCGCGGAAGCGAGATACTGCGCAAGACCATTCTAGAGAGAACCAAGTTAGAGCGAGCTCAGACAAATGGCGAGTCGTTTGGCAGGACTGCTATGCCTGAGCACATCCTATACTTACAGATATGAGACGGATCGAACCAAGACGATGAGGCAGAGTAAGCGCAGCAGCGTATTAAACCCAGTTACTCGAAGACATTCTCATACAGCAAAGAGAGCCGCTCGAGATATGGAGCGGCGTCGGCCGGAGTATAGATAGCCGAGCCAATTGATCTGAAAAGAGGAGCAGACAAAGCGGAGGCGAGGTGGGCGAGCGCTCGTCTACCAAATGTATTAGCTGCGAGCAGTCTCAAGTTTACATACCTATCAATAGCACGAGCAGAGCACGCAGGGAGCGGCGTAGTGGCTAATCTGCCCCGAGCGCACATCTAATTCTTAAGAAATAGAGAGCAAACAAACGGGAGGCGAGCGAGCGCTTTTAGCCCAGGTATCTGCAAGCCATTCTAAGAAAAGAGAGCAGCCAATGTGAGAGGCTGCGAGTGCTATGCCCAGGCACATCTAATTCTTAAGAAAAGAGAGCAACAAAACGGGGAGCGAGCGAGCGCTTTTAGCCCATATCGCAAGCCATTCATAAGAAAGAGAGGCAGCCATGTGAGGCGTGCGAGTGCATTGCCCGAGGCACATCTAATTCTTAAGAATAGAGAGAGCAACAAACGGGGAGGCGAGCGAGCGCTTTTTAGCCCCGAGTACTCGCAAGCCATTCATAGAAAGGAGAGCGCCAATGTGGAGGCGTGCGATGTGCTAATGCCGAGGCACATCTAATTCTTAAGAAAAAGAGCAACAAACGGGGGAGGCGAGCGAGCGCTTTTAGCCCAGGTACTCGCAAGCCATTCATAAGAAAAGAGAGCAGCCAATGTGAGGATCTCGAGATGCTATTGCCCGAGGCACATCTAATTCTTAAGAAAAAAGAGCAACAAACGGGAGCGAGCGAGCGCTTAGCCCAGGTACTCGCAAGCCATTCATAAGAAGGAAGCAGCCAATGTGGAGGCGTGCGAGTGCTATTGCCCGAGCACATCTAATTCTTAAGAATAGAGAACAAACGGGAGGGGAAGCGCTTAGCCTCAGATTAGTCGAGCAGCGCAGCAGTAAGAAAGACGAGAGCTAGTCCATTGGAGAGCTGCTGCGGTAGTGCTAGTATGCCGCGAGGGTCGACGAATTAATTCTGTAAGAAAACACGAGAAGAGGCAACTTGAGCATCTAGTTCCTAAGAAAAGATTATCCAATGAGGAGGCGAGCGAGTGCTTTTACCCGAGGCTCGCCGTCGCGGTGCAACGTCTCTTCGTGATCCAGGAGCACCTCGACGGCCTCCACAAACTCCTCCGAGATGGCGTGCAGCAGCGCGTCCTTGGTCTCCACGCGGTGCTCGATGAGCAGCTCCACCATCTCGAGGTTCTCGTTGTCGATGGCCATGAGCAGCGCGCTGCGCCCCAGCGGGTCCACGCAGTTGATGTTGATGTAGCCCGTCTCCTGCGCGCGCTGCAGCATCCTGCAACCAGACACACACACACACAAGTCAGCGAAGCGTTACTGGGAAATTGCAACTGAGGCACGGCACTCAATTCCCACGACAAACCTAAATGGAAATTCTGGTTTTCAAACCGACGTAGATTGCTCAGGACATCAACTGATGTCAGTGCAGGGCCTTTGATCGGGAGGATCTAGGTTCGAGTCCCGAAGATGGACGGATAGCTACCTAGTTAGGTGAATTCAGCCACTGTCTGGAGGAGAATTCTAGCGGTTTCTTTGAACGCTACTTTTCCGTGGTGTCTCACTTGTACCATTCTGATCTTTTATTTTTTTTCCTTGTCCTGTCCTCAGACCTTACTTACAACACTTCCACAAATGTCGCGAGACTAGCCAGGAGCTTCAATCTTGTCCCGGCTGGCGCTGGTGCTCCGCTGGTGAGAAATTCCTGGCCGGGGAGGAAGCCCGCGGTAGGTCGATGCCGGATCTCGCCATCCAGCCGGAGAAGCACCTCCAGCGATAAAACACGCACTATACTTATGGACCACGACCTTAGCAGGTGACGCTCCCGGAATCACTAATTAATGAATAAATCAAGCAATCTAGTTTTAAAATGATCCTAACCATGCTTTATTGGTACTTTTATTCATCATACAATTGAGTACCTATAGTTGAAGGTGGGGTAAGAATTCTAATCCTAAGAAAATGCGCAGATTAAACTTATCTTCTATACGCGACATATATACTTTTTTAAAATGGTTTAATGCAAAGCAATTAACTCTACTAAATCATTATCCATTCAGTGTGTCTTGGAATAAATGCTGCAAACTTACATGGTAAATAGTGGGGTCGAAGAAGATCTATTTTTGTCACTGAACATATGAGAGATGTAATTAAGTTATCTACGACATCTGCGCATGAATTGTAGACAGCTTACCATGTATTTGTGTTAATCGGATACTCGAAATTTCTTTTACTGTCAGACAGTGAGCCTAAAGGATTAACTAAGAATTAGGGTACATATATCTTCGTTTTATGACGTATCCCACTACTTATTCATTGGCAAAAAGTGATAATTTTCGACTCTTTACATGCTGTAGCAGGCTGTAACATTTATAGAAGACATCTCGTGTAAATAAACTCGTGATGGTACTACAGAAAATCGCACTTGCGCCATTTTATAAGCATGCTTTGATCTATTTGAAGAAAAAAAATAAAGTAAAAATTGAGGGAATTTTGAAAATGTTCAGTCATGATAAGTTCCGCCTGGAATTGAAACATGAATCCGCCTGGAATTAAAAATGTACCAGGGGTTTCATGTAAAGTACTTCCCAAAATTAAAATATCTGTTTAAAATTCAAGGGACCGCGATATCAGTCCAATCGATTGAGGATATCAATTTTGATGAAAATTCTGCCCACGGTTCAACCGTTAGCGTTCTTCCCAGACGAACGGTCATACGTTTTCTTTAAAGCAAGAGTTTGGTATCAAGGACCCTATGGATTCTAACTATACCAGAGAAAGGAAGTTATTTACTTCACGTAGGAGCAAGAATTACCCACATTTTCGATATCAAAGACCCACAATAGGAGTTTTTTTTGTCAAGAAAACAACCGTTTTTAGTTTCTCGCATATTACTTGCGTAGTGTAGATTTTAAATTCAAGGGGCCGCGGTTTCAGCACGATCGATCGAGAATATCAATTTTGATAAAACTCATGCCCATGGTTCAACCGCTAGTGTTCTTCCCAAATGGACGGACAGACGTTTTCCGTAAAGCAACATATCGTTATGAAGGATCCATAAAACATGGATTCTAACTACACTACAGATAGAAAGTTATTTACTACACGTAGGAGCAAAAATTATCCATGTTTTTCGGTATCAGAAATAGGAGTTTTCTGTTAAGAAATGACTGTTTTTACTTTCTCACATATTACTTGTGAATTGAAGGAAGAGTATTGTGAATATGCGGCAAAAAATGGTAATTGTTAGAAAAACTCGCATTAAGAGACTCTAATATCAAAAATATGAATAATTCTCGTTCTTACAAATTGAAACGGATCCTTATTTTTTCTTACTTATAAAAATAAGTAAATAATATTGATATTATTTTGTCCTTCCTTGCCAAACGACGGGCAGCCACTGAAATGGCTCTTTATTTCCCTTCTTTACTTATAATAATGATGATGATGATAATGATAATAATAATAATAATAATAATAATAATATAAAGAATACTGTACCGTTTTATATCTTAGCAAGCTTAATATAGCAAATTACTTCCTCTAACATGTTTAGTTAGAATTCGTATTTTGTGGGTTCTTGATACCGAACAATTTGTTTACAACAAACTGTCTGTATGGTCGTCCGTTCAACTCTCCGTGCGTTTGAGAACAACACTATCGACTAAATCGTTGACAGTATTTTCTCGAAATTTGATACTCCCGAATCGATCTGGATGACAACCCGACATCGTATATTTGCAAGGGATATTTTATTTTTTATTGGGGGTGGGTATTTGGAGCCCTTGTGTTGTTTTCAAACTTTTCTGCAAAAATGGCTCAAAATTGTTCAAACGTATTTCTCTGATAGAACATATAACGCTCATAAAAATGGCGCATGAGTTATTTTCATTCAATTATCTGTATTTTCAAAAAACAGAAAAGTTGAAATATTTTAGGCGTGTTCTTACAACTACAATATTGAAGATAGAGATGTTTCTTCTCATGAAATTTGTTCTTCGCCACTAGTTCTTTATTTAGTGCCATGAGCATTGTTCTGAAAATATTAGTTTTCACGCAATTGTTCGTGAAATAGAGCAATATATAAAATAAGATACTCCCCAAGACAGGTCCAAATTTTTCTTTAAACTTTTTGAACAGATATTACTAAATGCACTGAATAACATAACATAACATGATGGTTAAAATAAATCCTGAAGCACTACCACTCAACCTACAGAACAACAGTAGCGTGGGTCTCTTTCTCAAGCAAAACATCACAAACAAAAGAGAGACTGGTGAATGCAGAATAAAGGAGGATTTGCATCTCTGCGGTCCTTGTGGCGCTGTTTCTGACTGCGACAGTCGCACGCGCCGTTCAGCCGTGGGGCTCGCGATAACAAGACGCGACAGCGCCCAAAGCAAAGGCGATCGACCGTGGAGGGGATAAAACGATTTGGTTGCGTGTGGAATCTCTCGGCGGTGGCTTTGTATCTGTGAATCCAGCGAGAGGAAGTTTTTACTCCCCCTCTCCGACAGCAGAGAATTCAAAGCGAAGCAGGAGAACATAATGAGTGACCCGTCTGTGCATAGACTTGCGCGGCTTGAAACAAGAGGGGTTGGGAGACAACCTTCTCGGGTCCCTTTTCGAGTTTACTTACATATTTTTTATATTATTTTATTATACATTTTTTCTACTAAATAAATAAGAGATACTACAAAGAGAATTAAAATATAACTTTATTGATATGATTAATAAAAACAATAAAGTTTACGTTGAACCACTTATATAGTTGCCAGATGGTTTGGTGAATATCTTTCCGAAATGTATAAAAATTGTCAGTGTAAAAAAGGGTAAAGTCAGGAATTGGACATAATTAGACCCTCGTCGACATAATTACGCTAAAACAATGATTTATTCCGTAGAACTATGAGCATCTTAACATTTTTAGGAAACCACATGCCCGCTGGTTCATTCTCTGCAATGTCTACGCTTCTGAACCTTGTCCATGAGTACTAACTATAATTAAAATGCCATTACTTAAATATTTCTACTTCATTACCTTCACAATTGCAACGCGAATACTATCAGTATATGTTATTACCTGCGTAATCGAGTGATGGCGGTGAAGCACTGAAAATCATTGCGAGTTTATCGATAAACGCTATTATTAAAAATCCCCGAAGGACTTAATTGGTTGCAAAATATACAAATGATACCTATCTCAAATGAATAGAACGTAAAAGAACACTGGGACAAATCAATATTAGCGATGTGCACCATGTTATTTTAACGGCCATCTCAAACGAGATAAAAGAGCAAATGGCTTCTATTATAGGCTGATTTGTACGTCAATTAAGATTTCACTGCTTCAAAATACACAATCTCATTTTAAGGACGTGATCATCTACTTTGTATTTTTCGCCACATAGAATCTCCAACTCAGATTTTTATTATATCAACTTTGTTTCATCCCCTCTTTATGTACCTTGAGTAATTGGCTCTCAGTAATATTGACGAGAGTCATGTGAATACATGCAATTGAACGTAGGAGACAGAAAAACGACTTGATTTCCCACATATCTGTTTGAGCCAAGGAAAGAAAAGTGGTAATGGTTGAATCTTTGAATAAAAAAGAGCTATGTCCTGTGTATAATTTTCCTTCTCTTTTTATACTTATTTAAGATGGCGTGTCAACTACTAACGTCGTAGCGACCACTGTATGTAACATTGGAGGAATGGGTAACGGTATAAGGACACACAAACATCCATGCCCCGGGCGGGATTCCAGCCTGCGAACTTTCAGACTCGAGGCACCTACGGATCTTGAGCCTCAGCGACCTTGGCTATCGGAGCCAATTTTCCTTTTTTGTTACTTATTATATATAAGTATAATTTTGATTCAATTAAATTATTATTTGGAATTTACAGAATAAAACTATGTTATGACAAATATAATTTTTTTCACATATTGAAGGTATCGGCTTCATTTTGCGAGTTTAAGATCTTGCAAAACAAATATTGTAATGGCTCAAATATACAACTAGTTATATTTCGTAATGTTTGTATTGGAACGGAATATAACGTGGATTAGGACAAGAGAACGGTGATGGTCCGGAGATCAGTAAACCAACAGCTGAACGACTAAGTATTTCGAGAAGCAGAGAAGTGTGTGACATGTGGCATCGAGGCATAAGGAAAAGTGTGGACAATGGTGGAGTGACGAGTTGTATAGAAAGAAAACTAAAAAACGAACACTATTTATCACGTTGGTCTACGTACAGTTTGGACGTACTCTTTAACATGCTAGTATACAATTTGAACGTATATCCGTAGACACGCCAGCTTGTGGTTCGGAAGTGTTAATTGATCGACTTTCAAAAGTCAATAATCGAGCAACTTTTCATTAATCAATTAAGTTTATACAAGTAAAATGAGACCTCATGAATTTGGTCATACGTTTGGGCAAATTTAAAATTTGGACATTTTATTTAAACCGGGGTTGGGTTGAATTTATTACTAAAGTGACATCGATTGAAGAGAAGACGACGAAGAGAGCAAAGATCGCTCGTGGGCTGAAATAAGAGGCTCAACTAAAAAAAACTACGAATTTTCAGTTAACGAACTCTACAGAATTGCGGATTGGTCAATCTTGAAGCAGCCACAGCAGCATATCTTACGATACAGTATTCCACCAACAAATGGCAGAAGTGTGAAAGCAAGAATTATGCATTTGCAATACAAGATGAACACTTTTCACCTAAACATGCGAAAAAAGAGCAGTTATTGGTGTCAGTGTAAAACGACTTTATGCAAATCCCGAGCAAGGTTATGTTGGCCAGCTTTCTAATAAGTGATTGTAACTATTCCACTTGTGAAATTAAAACAAACTACATACGAAATGATCCAATCAAGACGGCATATCTAAAAAAAGTTTATCGCTTTTCCTATCCGCTTTTCCGTACCGCTTCTACCTACTGGCCTCTCCTAAACTCTCTCACCTATTTTAGGAGGCAGTATATATCTATCGCAATGTCCAATAAACAGCGTATGTATTTATTTTAATTATTTATTTGTTTACGTCAAAAACATTTAAAAAATGTGTGTGACGTGCTATGGGGAGAAGTTTTTTTAAGTCACATTAATAACTATAAGACAACCTCCCTGATTTTAACACAACTTTTTAATTTTTAATATATGGAGCATTTTGGAACTCTCTTGGACATAATGTCATTCGTGTAATACTTCTATTAAATACCATTCGTACTTCGGAAATTCTCATATAAGACCACTTCTCACTTCGCGAGTCGGAGATTTATCGACAATTTCCAAAGCAGTATTGGTATAATAAATATACGAACAAAGTCGGATTTCATTAGGCGGTATCCCATAAATGTAGGTTTTGCGTTGTTCTTGTGAACCACACACCAACCTCTGCCGCGAACTCAGGAGGACTATGTAGCTACCGGACACATAAAACATCCACTCAATAAAAGTGCAGCAGTAAGCAAAGTTTACTTCTCTGTTTCCGGGAGGAAGCGTCAGTCACTTTGAAGGCGAACGCCATTAGGAAGCCTGGAACGAGTTGGGGCTTGCGCTTAGTATTGCACCGGCTTTGAAAGGCGTCTTCAGGGTTTGAACGCTCCAAGTGGCACGAGTTGCCAACATTAAGACGGATTAATGTTTGCGAAACGTCGTTATGTTGTCAAAAGGAGAAACGTATGACTTAGCAGCACCTAACGGTGAAAGACTGATGTACCCGCGGAAATGCAAAGACGCTTCGCTGCACATGTCACTTTACGTTCATTGAACGACTCAAGTAGATTTCAAACCGAATGCCATTCGTGAACTTCATCTCGGAAATCGTGTCAAATGCCACTGTATTCAGATGTTGTTCAAAACATATGAATGCGCACATACATCAATATGAAAAAAATATTTACCTTCACCAACTTTTGAATAAGATGTGATGCTGAGACATGGATTTCATTGTATTAAACAGGAATGAGAGGGTAGTGAATTCAGAATTCTGTTTTCTTAAGTGTTATCGCAATTACACTGAAATTTATTTAAATTTAGCGAATAACCTGAAATAAACAATTATAAGCTTTCCTTGACTTAAATTAGGGCTAAGATCGTGCATTTCAAATATCGCGCCTTCAAGATATCCACTTTTTCTTCAAGAACTCGCGAACTGCATTGCCAATAATGAGAATAGCAACTCAGATAATATAACATTTCAAATTATACATCAGCATTGCTAATAGAGCGCAACACTGTCCTAACACCCAGCCGCGAGGTTATTAAAAAAAACAATATTCTTATTAAGACGCCTTAACTCCAATTGTTGAAGTCGACTGCAGATCTAACTGATCGCCGATGGGACGAAGCAGAAGACATTTTCGCAGAGCTCGTTGCTGATGGTATTGACTCTCAGTGCGTTATCGACAATCTTTGGCGGCGGGGTAAATATTTTATTTCCGCGCTCCTCGCGGGAAGACACAGCTGACACATCCAAGCGGAAATTTGGAGGAAACATACAAATAACGCCAAAACACAAAGGAGGTCCGGGTTCGATTCCCGTCGATATCTCGACACGCTCATGTGAAATTTGTTCCAACTAAACGAGTCTGCCTGCTTCACAAGGGCTAATCGAACCCCCCTGCATTGCCCCAAACCCTACTCCTTTTCTAATTCCTTCCCAATTCTGCAATGCCGCTGGGTAGTGACGTCAGAGACGGTACCCGGCGAACCTTTTCACGAATCCTGACACAACTTACGAACTACAGACTATAATATAAACGTGTATAGTTTAACGGAATTCCATACATTACATGCGTCCTAAGCCAAGCTGTTGGCTTATTAACGTTGTCACAGACGTGACTGTGAACGTTGTCACAGAAATAGTACCAGGATGTTATTAAAAGAAGAGGTGATGCATAACATGTTTCATGAAATATTTAGTGTTAGCAAACATTATAACCCCAGCACGTGTTGACAGCCTAAATGATCCATTTCCAGAGACCAGTATCATTGGATGCTGTTTTGAATACGCCAGCGAAGACCAGAAATTTTCAAATAATGTGCACTCCCAGAAAATGCTTATTATGCTATATAGAGATATTTATTTCGATGTCTCAACATGTAGCCTATTGGGTTCCAGGTATTACAACTAATATAAAAAAAACAAATTTCCTTTATTCGTATTTAAAAGACGAACAGCATTTAAGAATTATTTTTTCATGGCATAATTTTCTTCTAAAACAAGGAAGGTGGAGTTTTACGCCGTGTAGCTTAAATGCACGCCCAGTTTATCACGCTCGTTCCAGGAGGCACCTGGGGTGCTTTGTTTATTCCCAAAGCATCAGGGCGGAAAACTATCGATTTTTACGGTGTTTTTTGAAGAAAAGATAGTGTGACTTAGTGCTTACTTTATTATCTTGTGGGTTAACCACTGTAATGAAGGAACTGGAATAAATGTAAGAAAGTTTCGCCTAATTACAAAAACGTCTATGAATATTTTATTAATAAAAAATATGGGAAAGAAATTTACTATATTCTTTGATACGTTTTCTTCCAATCAAACTTCGAAATAAAATATTTCTACACTTTTAGTTCTTATTATGGAGAGAAATTACAAGAAAAAAACTAAATAAATTATTTTGATATGTTGGCGTATACATATTGTATTAAATAGAATATCTCGTAAATTATTGTAATGTTTGTTTATAACCTTAGTGAAGAATACATTAAGTGCGTCGAAAGTTCTTCTCTGTCTTTTCACTTTCTCCGCCCGAAGCTCGAAACTACTCTTAGAAAGGCACGCGTCCTTCAACAAATTAAGACCACCAAAACGAGGAAGAATTCCGCCGCATTTGTTGTCCGTGCAGGTCCGCACGTGTTCCACGAACTCCAAACCTGAGAGGGATGTTTGCGGTCACGGCCCCATTCACCTGTTCAAGGAACTCCGTTTAGCTTCCATCGCCGCGGGCGGCCAACAAAGTCCAATACCCCTGCGCAAACTTCCGATCAGCCTGTTATACCTCAAACGAGGGCCCGGTTCCGAAAATCGGCGAGACGAACAGTTTCGGATAAACTCGCAGGCCGGCCACGCTAGGCGGCGCACGCCGTCATGCGACGCCCCGCGCGGGGCGTGGCGCGCGGCGCAGCGGGGGCGTGGGCGTGGGCGGCGAGTGCGGGCGCGTGCGGCGTGGGCGAGCGGGGTCGTGGCGAGCGCTGGGCGTCGGGCCGTGGCGTGCAGCGGTGGCGTGGCGAGGCGCAGCGGCGGGCGTGGGCGTGGTCGCAAGCGGCCGGCGTGGTGTGGGCGCAGCGGGCGGACGTGGCTGGCGCAGCGGCGGGCGCGGAACGCGGGCGCAGCCGAGGGCTGCCGATCGGGCGTGAGCACGCCCGTGCCGCCGAGGGCGTGAGGCAGCCGCGGCCGTGGGCGCAGCGACGGGCGTGGGCGAGCCGCGGCGTGGGCGTGAGCCGCACGCGCGGGCGCGCGGGCGTCGTGGCCCGCAGCGCCAGCCGAGGGGCGTTGGGCGCAGTCGCCGGGCGTGGGAGAGACCGCAGCGTCTGCTGAAGGGAGTTAGTCCTAGGGTTTTCGCATTTTCCACTAGCTACCAAGCTCGGTCAACTTAAACCACTGCCTGGAGGAGAATATTATTCTAGTGGCCGCCTGCTGAGGTAAGAAGTTTTCCGTGGTTCCCCCGATCAATCCCAGGCAAATGCTAAGGCTGTACCTTAACAAACGCGCGAACTTTTCTTCCTCTTTCTTGTTGTATACTCAACTGCTTTTAGACACTCACATGGACTACGCTATTACACATATTGGGAGACCCGTCCGGAGCTTACAGCTCGTCCCAGCTCCCGAATCGGGCGGTATACCCATACGCTCCCCCATTGGTTGGAGGAAACCCCGCAAGCCGTCGGATATGTCGGCCCCGGATAGCGCCATCCAGCGGAGGAAGATAACAACCACATACCGTGATAAACAAACATACACTATAGCTACGGGACTATTGACTTTAGCAGTTGATGGGCCCGGACGTATTAATCAATCACAGATTCAACATTTGTGTAGCGTTTCACTGTCTGCAGTGTGTGGAATATATTAAACCTATATACGTAACTAAGGTGTTACTACGTAATGTACATTGTAAGAACCATATATTATTTAATAAATTCGTCTACTGTATTCGCATCCTTCCTATCTATAGTATAGTTGAATGAACCATTTTATTGAGCGTAGAGCCACTGTAACACCAAAATTAAATTAGTATAGCAACTTTATTCGAACGATAAGGAGGCTTTATTTATTTTTCATACAGATCATTCCACAATAAGAATTCTAAGAATTTCAAATTGCCGCATTGCATCGTTGCCATTGAACTACTGCGACATGTGATTAAAACTATTTTAACAAAAAAGCACAGAGTACCTCTCTTTTTAGACATCTCACAGGCATTTTGGCACCAAGGATTACTGTACAAACCACAAGAAATTTGAACACCTGATTATCTGCAGAAACTAATTCGTAGCTTTCTCTCAGACAGATATTTTCAAGCGAGGATAAATAATGCTCTGTCACCGCTTTACCCAATTCTCGCAGGTGTCCCACAAGGGTCGGTTCTTTCACCAACAATTTTCTTTATATTTACAGCAGACTATCCTACTTCACACGAAGCAAGTATTGCTCTTTATGCGGACGACACCGCTATTTTCACTTCATATACAGATATAAACTTAGCCTGAGATTGCATACAATCCTACATTTACAGTTATACGAACTGGACCAAAAAAATGGAGAATTAAAATTAACCCTTAAAATCACAATCTAAAATATTCACTCTCAGTCGGTCTCTCTTCCCTACACTCCTGCAAACAAATTACACTGATGTCATCTGGCTTTGTCATTCTTCGCCACCCAAATACCTAGGTGTTTTACTGGACAAACGACTAACGTGGAAACCGCACATTCAAAGAACAGCTCATAAGACACGTGCGAAAGTTCAAAATCTATACCCGTTTATCAACAGAAATTCCACACTAAGTATAGAAACTAGGCTACTCATCTATAAAATGATAATAAGACCCACAATGACATAGGCATGTCCAATACGGCGCAACATACCACCAACCAATCTATCCGTTTTTTCACAAATCCACCGAGAGCTTCAAATACCTCTTCTCTCAGAATTCACCTCACAAACTTCTGAAAAATATTATTTTCTCCTGCCAGCATGCCCCAGCACTCTAATATTCAATCTCGGCCAAAACGGCATTAGATCCAGATTCCTCAAAGATCTCTTTCGCCCACCCTAATTCATAAAATTATTTGTCCCCTTTTCCCACAAGCACTCTCCCTCCTCCTCTAAACCACAAATGCAAACTTCTCTTAGTGAAGATATCCAAATAAGAGTATGAAATTTAAAAAACAAAATAGTGAAGGGTTGTTCCGAGACCCGCATTTGCCTGAGGATGACCAAGTAAAATCATTGTATGTAACATTGTACCCGTTAAAACCCCCGAAAGACAAAATTCGAATGGGAAGAAAATAAATAATACGTTTTATCACAAATGGCCCACTTTCTGCGAAGCATTATACACACATAATAAAACTGCAAATATGACAAGTTCATATTAAGTTACAATGCGTTCGCGATGAGGCAAACCACCGTAACGCCGACTGTCGATCTTGCACTAGAACGAAATGTAGGTTTATCGCGGAAGAGAAAATCATACGCCGGTGCTGGTGATGGTGTGGGTGATATTTCAGGTACCTCAAGCCGGCGCATGAAATACTTCGTGGAGAAATATGAAAGTTATAGCTTTTCAAAATTTTCTCCGTGATGTGCGAGATTCTGCATATCGCGCGCGAGATTCGGAGTTATCTCTATTGCTGTTCATTTCTTGAAAATTATTAATAGTACATCGCTGTCGGGAGTTTACAGAAGTAGTCCAAGTTCGCGTCGACTGCATAATATGGTAGTAACAAAACTATCTTTAGAATTATAGCTGGGGAGATGGTCGGAAAAGAGAGAGCAGGAGATATTTTGTATATTTCAGTAAATATCATTCTCGCTTGGATCAGATGTTTCTTCATAGAAACGTTACATCAGGTACAGTCAGACTCTACACACATCCGTCAATGTAGCCAAAGTCTACACACATCATGGTATGGTTTTAAAATTATATGATTAATTATTTTCTCCAAAAATAATTACATTATCGGCAAATCATTGACATGGATATCTTAGTTTTCGCGTCCGCGATTGGTTAATAAGTAGAAAACTAATATTCGTAATTTAGAAAACATAAATCACATAAAAATATACATCGGCAATTAGATGAAATTGGTGTTGTGCTCTACCCTAGTTTAATCCTATAGTGATAATCTATTTCTTTTTAACCTCAAGTTTACTTTTCCAAACATAACTATTAAATTATCCGGTTGAATATTTTTGTTTAATACCTAAAATTTTGTCTTTAGTGTTTTTATTATTTTACGTCATAATTTGACACATACTGACAAGACATACATTGTTGATACAACTTTTTGATGAATGTACCATTATGTATTGCATTTTACAGAACGTACTGTAGTAATACTGTTCTGATTTTCGTGTATTTTTGGTCTTATTAGCTTGAAATCCGCAGAAGCAAATACGTTCCTCCGATTCTGTGGGTATCGAAGTGTTACTCATTTAACAGTTCCAATTATTTGTTCAAAATAGTTGTTTTCAAGCATGATAAAGCGAAACAAGAGCGTGCCGCGAGAAATTAATGGCTGATAAGAGCTATTCTGTCGCTTTGGTCAAAGCCCCGAAAGTAACCCTTATCAGCGCTCTAAAGCGCCTGAACTGTTTTCCTGAAAATTAAAGTTAAAACAAACATTTTATAGAACACTTTATTGACTTTAATTTTGTAAATAACAATTGTTTCCGTGAAACGCATGGTTTTGAAGATATTTGCGAAAAACTAAAAACAGGGCGAAATGTTAGTTTTTTTTGGAATTTTCTCTGTGATGCCGACCATTTTTCAGAATACAAACATCCAATTCAAATTCAGAACCCTCAAAAACATAGAACCGTGAAAAAATGTTCTGGAATTTTTTCTTGGGTCGGGTAACTTTTAACTGAATTCTGCAGTATACAGCAACACGAAATACTGCAGTATTTGTGAAGGCTGTTTTTGATACAAATTTAATTTATTGTAATTAATATTACTCGAGGGAATTTTAATTGTTGTTCTCAAGCACTGTGGGTACTACTTTAAGAAAAATACATTTTGTGCGGTTTTGCTCAACAGCATTTTTTGCTACTGCAGGCCAGAAGTCTCTATTAACAACTAACATATACTTAAACCCAGAGAGTCGCTGGGAACTAAGGAGAGAAAATGCAAAGGAGCCGTTTTAATGAATAAATTGTTCGGAATGTTCAGTAATGTAAATACTTATCATCTGAAAACGAAGACAACAAAATTATGTTCAACTAGAATCCAAAATTTTATTTATGAAAAATAATAGATTAACGATTTAATTTGAAAATGAATGTGGTATAATTCTGTAAGCATCACTCTAAGAAGTAATACAGAGAAGAGACGGGGAAAGATAACCAGTTGTTGGCTAGGTTACTCCAATCCCACCAACACCACTTCTCAACTTGTACAAATTTTCTGTATTACCAATGTTGAATTCAGTCATAAATTGGCAGAAAACTAAGAAGCTTCTGACCATGTGAGATGTGCCAATGGATTTGGTAGATACTCAGAAAAACGGGAGAAGTTCAAAAATCAATGAAACAGTTTAGATTTTGAATGAAAAATGCAAATATTGTATAATGTTAATCCGCAATTTCTTTATGTACATAATGTAACGCATTTCTTCTACAGATTCTATCCACATATAAAAAAAAAGCTTGTCATTGTATACCTACATTAAAGATACTTGGAACAGAAATACACTAAAATAATTATGAGGCT